GAGCTTCGTGGGTGGGTTGCTAGGCTGCTCTCAGTGGGCGTCAAGGACAGTGAAGCACAAAAGGAGAAGAGGAATGGAATGTCTCTGCTTGGTGGCGGGGTTAAAAGAAGAGAACTAAACAATGGCAAAAAAAAAAAAAAATTCTTTGGAGGTAGAGTGGGTAAAAATGTTGGGCAACTATATTGTTATAATGCAAACTATGTCCGCCCCACACCTCCTGTCCCAGAAACCTATTTATCCCATCAGCTTCCAGAAGAATGGGCAGGCATCCTTCTTATAACTAAAGGATAACAGTTAAGATTTGCCTCTGCCATCCCTTTTACCCAAGTGATGGAGATACAGTGGTACCTCGGGTTAGGTACTTAATTCGTTCCAGAGGTCCGTTCTTAACCTGAAACTGTTCTTAACCTGAAGCACCACTTTAGCTAATGGGGCCTTCTGCTGCCGCTGCACCGCCGGTGTGCAATTTCTGTTCTTATCCTGAAGCAAAGTTCTTAACTCGAGGTAATATTTCTGGGTTAGCGGAGTCTGTAACCTGAAGCGTATGTAACCCGAGGTACCACTGTATGCTTTCTGGACAGTTATGGTGTTTCAAGAAATTAGGAACATAAGAAGTGGCCTTATAGAAAGTAAGATCATTGGCCCATCTAGGTCAGAAGTGTCTACACTGAGTGGCAGCAGTTCTCCACGGCTCGAGACAGGAGTCTTTCCCAGTCCTACCTGGAGATACCAGGGATTGAACCCTTTTGCATGCAATGTGTGTGTTCTGTTATTGGGATACAGACCCTCCTCATACGAGTTCAGAGCAGGCTGCATCAGAGAATCCCATTAACTCCTTCCCTGAGGATCATTTCACCGTCCACATATTGGAGGGTCATGCTACATATGGTCTCCCCATTGCAGAAGTCATGGTATGGGCAATTCATCAACATGATGACACTCATGTGCCCTGGGAACCAGTTTGGAGATCACAGTTCTTTGTATTCAATTAGGCACCATATTTCTCAGTTCATACTTGTTAGATCACAGAATCATCGCATTGTACAGCTGGAAAGGACCATGAGGGTCATCTATTCCCAGCCCCTGCAATGCAGCAAACTTTTGCCCAAGGTGGGGCTCAAACCCACAACCCTGTAATTATGAGTCTCATGCTCTACTAACTGAGCTATCCCTTTCTAAGAGCTATCCCGACTGAGCTATCCCTTTCTAAGAGCATGTATTGACAGCTGTCGTGGATCACAGGACATACTTTCAATTATACTTCCCACTTCATGAGAGGATTAGGCAGACAGGAATAAGTGACTTCATCCAAGAGCATCTTTAGAATGTGAAAATGGCTCTACACAAAATGTAGACAGTGCAGGTTACCCTAGCAATGTTGTCTGCAGCATTAACAAAGCTTGCATAGCATGCTTAAGATGTTCTACTCCTCTTAATTACATGTAGCAAGAGTGTAGCATCTGAAGGATACTGGGATAACACTCTATTTCTTACAAGTTAAGATGCAATAGATTTTGTCTTCTTACAGGTAATTTGTAAATGTGAAACATGTGAAAGTGAGCCTTCAAGGCAATAGTAGCTATATGCCAATAAAAGAAACGTAAGAATACAAATAGAAGGTCAATTTTAAAACGAAAAAGGAAGATACTGGAAGACATTTTAAGATGCTGTACTGTCTGCATGGTGTATAAAAGGATTTGCTAGGCTATGCATCTGTTTTAAAGAGAAACTAGACTGACCTATATACCAATTTGAGGCCATGTCCCTTTCTAGCATGCCTTCTTATTTGCCCTCTTGCTAATGGTGATAACCGAAAGTCTAGATCTGTGCCAGAAAGGAAGCTTCACAAAATAAGTGTCTGCAACAGCCCACATATTTCTGACACTTTATCTCCCCTTCTGGAGCCACTTATGAGAAGGTTGATTGTCACCAACTCTTATTTTTAAGCAACCAGATCTTCAAAGAATCCAATGCTTTTTGAAATCAAAAGCCAATGACTAGTCAAAGAAGTGTCTTAAACAGCACTTCTACTTGCACAGACAAGCTACTCAAGGTTCTACTAGATTATCTACCTTCTCCAAACAGAACATTCATTGAACAACAATGCAAAGGAACATGGGAAATTGGGTAGCAAACTGACTTATTAACACAATCCTATCATACATGAAGCAGCAGTTTTGGGGTGCTGCCCTAATGCCTTACTTCAGGTGCTTCGAAGAAATGAGAAGAGTTGCAAATGGCTCACTCCCTCTCTTTCCAAGTTTCCAGCTATCATTCAGATAGGGGAATGAGCAGGAAACCTAGTGTTCCATTTCAGCACCCAGAATGGCCATTGGTCATATTCTAGCATGAACACATGGAACCTGGGGGCAGGGAAGGACAACATTGTTCTTAGGAGTTTTTGTTGATTTTTAGCAGATAAACTGCATGGATACACCTAGACAGCAAAGAAGAATCCACTGAATAGCCTGAGCATGCTAAAACAGAATTAATCAAGAGTGCAGAACTGATCCAAAAATGTCTACACGAGAGCCCCAATAAGTCAATATGAGTTTCCAAAAGGAGCAGCAAGGGTAAGAAGACAGAACTGCTTCTGTTCATATATTTCTAAGTGAGATTTAATAAATAAAAATAAAACTGGAACACAAATGTTGCAGCCCATCCTCATGCATTTTTACACAACGGGACTTTGTGCCCAGTGGGACTTATTTTCAAGTAGATACACATAAGATGGCATCCCCAGTTCAGAAGTGAGAGATGAATAAGGAAGAAGAGAGAAAATACCTCACTGTATCAAGTAGATACACATAAGATGGCATCCCAAGTTCAGAAATGAGGGATGAGTAAGGAAGAAGAGAGAAAATACCTCACTGTATCAATGTTGCCTATAGGTTAGAGTCATGGGTAATTTTGAGCCAGACACCATCTTCAGGACAACCTAACTTACAGGGCTGTTGTAAGAATTCAAAGAAAAGGGTGGGGAACCATGTGCAATACCCTGAGTTTTTTGGAAGAAAGACGAGATGGAAAAAGGATTACTAAATAATCTTAAGACATTAGGGGCATCTGGTCTAATGGAACCAGCCAGTGCAGGTGAGACAAACTCTGCCACCCTTCTCAAGGCTCCTGAACATAGTATCACTGCTTAATCAGACCAAAGGGCCTCTGTAGTCTAGCATCCTATTTCCCAGTATGCCAAACCAGATGCCTGTGGGAAGTTCATAGGAAGGACAGAGGACAGCAAACAGTACTGAAGCATCCTGCGTCTAATTCTGGAGATAGCATGCAGCCATCAGGACTAGTAGATGCTGACAGCCTTATCCTCCATGAACTTGTCTAATCCCCTTCTTTGGTCATCACTGCATCTTGTGGGAGCAAAGTCCACAGGTTAACTTTTAAATGTGTGAAATAACACTTCTTTCGGCCTGTCTTGAATCTCCCACCATTCATCTTCACTGAATGATCCTGGGTTTTAGTGCTGTACAAGAGGGAGAAAAACCTCTCTATCTACTTTCTCCACACCATGGATGTCTTCCCTGCTCTGCTTTCCTCTCCTAACACCACCACCCCTCTCCAAATGTTGCAAGCTTTCCTTAGGAGAGCAGTCCTTGGATCATTATGAATATCCATTTCCGCACCTTCTCTAGGACTGCAATATCTTTTTAGCAGTTCTGCAGCCAGAGTGATCGCACCAAATTTCTGCTTAAAGATAATACTGGTAGCCTTGTATTTCATGCCTCCTCCAATTATCGATCCCTTTGTACACACTTTTTACATCTGCCACACACTTCATTCTTTCCACCACGACCTCAGGATCCTTACTGCTCAGTCAGTCACCTCCATCACCTATCAGTGTTAAGTTAGAAATTTTTGTCCCAATGTGCATACCTACACTTACATATCTTTTATTTCATTTACTTCTTAAAATTTATACACTGCTTGATTGTAAAAACAACAACCCTCAAAGCAGTTTACAAAAGCTAAAACAGTAAAATCAAGGAAAACTTACAACACTACCTTAAAACATGCAGAAGTTTAAATACTGAAACTGACTGAAATGACCTCAACTTTCTAATCATCTGGGTAGTCTTGTTTAAACAGGAATGTTTTAGCAGATGCTGAAAAGAGTACAGTGAAGATGCCTGCTTGATCTCAATAGGAAGGAGGTTTCAAAGTGTAAGCACTTCCACACTAAACGACGGAGTTCTTACAAAAATGGAATGGGCATTATATGGAATCTGTAGCTGTGCTGATTTTGCCAATTGAAGTGGTTGACTGGGCGCATGTAGGGTAAGGAAACCTTGCAAATAAACTGGTCCCAAATTGTTAAGGACTTTATATACTAATAGTAACACCCTGAGCCTGGCCCTGTAGCAAATGAGCAAGCAGTGCAGATCTTGAACATCTTACTGCCCATTCACCCAGTATGGAAAGCTCTTTTATTCTTACCACCCAGAGCAACTTGGCATCAGCAGCAAACGTTTCCACCTCACTATTCACCTCAAACTCCAGTTCATTAAAGAAGACAATTTCCCAAACTGATCCTTGTGGAAACCCTCATCTTACACCCTGCTTAGAAAAGTCCAATTTAGCCAACTGCCTTAAAGCCATTTTTGGCAGTATATATATTTATACATCCCCACCGCCATCATCACCCCTTCGATGTGGAAACAACCTGTATTCATTCCTACTCTCCGCTTCCTGGTTTTTAACTGGTTACCATCCGTAAAAGGATCCCATCCTCTTGCCCCATGACTGTGAAGCTACACAATGATGACGAACCAGGCCTTTTGGCTGATCAACATCCCATATCCTTTTAAACGTGTTTGTGGGATTGGGAGGTATTGGGCGCTTATTGGTTTGATTTGCTCCTCTTCTTGTCTTTATTACACATTTTGTGCTTTAATCTTCTATTTTTATGCTGTTAACCACCCTGAGATCTTCAGAGGAAGACCGGTATACAAATTAAATAAATAAAGGAAATGATGATAATGATGAAAGCCAGAGTAGCACAGCGGTTAGTGTGTCCGACTAAGACCTGGGAGACCAAGGTTTGAAGCCCATGAAGCTCTTGCTGGGGCGACCTCGGGAGAATCAATCAATGCCTCTCAACCTACCTCACCCAGCCGTTGTTGTAGGGGCTAAATGAGGAGATACCCACGTAAGCCGCCTTGAGCTCCTCAGAGGAAAAGGTGAGGCATCAATGCAATAAATAAAGATCATAATAAATAAATAAATGATGAGGATGAAAGCAGAGCCCTCTATACCCTCAATCCGCAGAGCGTGAGACTCTTCACCTCAAGGTAGCGGGTTCGAGTCCCACATTGGGGGCAAAAGATTCCTGCGTTGCAGGAGGTCGAATTAGATGACCCTTCGTGGTCCCTATGATCCTATGAAAAGCCAACCCCATTCACTCACCCCCCACACACCTGGGGGGTCAGGAAGCCATTCCCTCCAGAACCCCACCAACACCAGAGTTCCTGAGGTAAACCAGAATTCGAACTCAGGGCCAGAGGGGTTTTTTAAATTATTATTATTATTCTGGAGGGGGAGGGGGATGCCGACCCTCACCCTCGAAGATGAGGATGTGGCCTGAGGTAGAAATGGGGGGGACGCCTCTCTCCCCTCCTTTTCTTCTTTTAAATAATAATAACGACGATGATAGCAATAATGATAACTATCTCCTCGGCCCACGGGTTGTACCTGGCGGGTTCAGTGGCGCGGCGGGTGCAACGCAGTCGCTACCAGTCAGTCAAGCCTCTCACCCGGCTTCGGCTTTTCTCCCTCAATGAAAAATATATATATATATTTTCCCTTCTCTTCTCACAGCGCAGGCGCAGCTTCCGCCATAGCCGGCTACGTTGCCACTTCGCAAAGGGTTCTGGGTAGTCCGAAGGAGGGAGGGCGGAAGCGGAGGGATGTGGGCAGGGCGGGCTCCTGAGGGTCCATCCGCGCGTGCGTGCGTTCGTGCGTGAGAGACGCTTTGCGCCTGCGCGACTCCGCGCGCGCGCGCGGCACCTTGTGCCCCACGCCCCCTCCTCCACGATATGCTAATGAGCAGCTCGACGCGGCTCCTGCTGAGAGTCCTAGAGACGCCCGAAAGCCACGGCAGCGCTCGTTGATTGACAGACGCGCGCTGAGGAGAGAGAAAGCCGGGAGGAGGAGGAGGAGGAGGAGGAGAAGCGGTCGCTGCTGCTGATTGGTTGCTGCGAGCGAGCCGGGAGAAACGCGCTCATTGGAGGAGGCTCGCGCGCTACACGCGTGTTGTTCCAGGAAGGCGGTTCCACACGTGCAGTTGTAGGACCGCAATTTAAACAAAACGGGACACCGTTATATCCACTCCCGTGTGTTTCAGACGACACTCGATGATACTTCAGGAGCTACCTAATGGTCTTTCTGGCCGTTATTATTATTATTGTTATCATTATGTACTATGGTTGTTATTGTTGTTATTATTATTATTGATTTAATTTCTATACCGTCTTTCATCTGGGGATCACAGGGCGGTTTACAACATAAAAACACAAAAATACATAACATAAGAACAAACAAAACCATAACGCCTCACATACACAGTTTTTACACATGGTGATAATTGTTAGGAACAATGAAATATACATTCGTTGCTCTTGCATTAATCATCTTTGCAGTTTTGTCTAGTTTCCTCTTCCTTCCCCAGTCTGAGTTGCTCCTCTTGTGCTGAGTTTTAGCTTATAAAGGCGGGGACATTGTCTCTTGAATTTTGTTGAGCATGGTGCTCCCATAAATAAGACAATTAAACATGGCTGTAAAATAGTTGGATGTTCTGCATTTAGGCTTCAGAATTTGATATAAAGGGGGAAATGAAGAAATAAGAGCAACTTTCGGTGTTTGCTAAATGGTCTTGCTGGATTCATGTGAGTCTAAGGGGAAAAAACCTTTTTCTTTTCAAAACTCAAGATCTGGTATCATCTTTAGAGCAAGCCAAGTAAGCCATGGTATAGGGCCTCGCATCCTTGATTATAACTGCATTGATAACAACAATTGCATTGATTATGCAAACAAAGCTTTTTGCATGAAGTGCTTTATTTAGTAGTTTTTCATTGCATCTCTTCAAATATAATGGTTTACCAATTATTTTCATTACCCTACGGAAACCAAACCCGGGGTCTGCAATGGCACCCCTGAAATCTCGTACCACTCGGAGATTGGTCTGCGCTTCAATGCATTTTAATGTTCCTTGCAAGCCGCCTTGGAAGGATTTGAACCTGAAAAGTGGGGCTATAAATAATGATAAGAAATAAATACCCGAGAAAGAACATGTGAATGTTCAGGGATTCGCCAGAGATAAATGCCAGGAGCATAATCACACATCCGCCGCTAATTTCTTTTTAATTGACAACTTTGAAGTCTGCAGAGGTTTCGCCTAACGGTCACGTCAGCAGCCCACAGGGACAATGCCAAACTGCTCATTTTCAGTGTGTTCCTGTCTTGCATATGCTTAGCTCTGCTGCAGCCTCTTCGTCTTCCTTGGGATACGTGGGAGATTTTACAGTCACTCTCATTCATGCTAATGATGCTTAACATCTGTAGCTGCCTCCTCCTGCCAGCAAGAAGGAAACGGACTCCAAAATATGTGAACACTGGAGGGAGCAGTGAAACATCAGGCACGTGAGATGTTCTGCTAAACAGAAACAAAACGTGCTGCGGTTCCGATATATACATTACATTGGAGTGCTTAATTAGAGTCATGTTTCTGGAACTTTGGGGAGGCAAAGTATTTTGTGTGTGTGTATTAAAACTGCAGATGCACTTGAAAATGTTTGCTTCTATGGGGCAGAGGAGAAAGTAGAGCCCCCCCTTTTTTTCTGCATGCCACCAAACTGAGTGTGCCTAATCATCGGAGGGTTAGATTTGGAGGGACCCAAACTCAGCAGCTGAGTACCATGTCCAGGGGATGCGGGTGGCACTGTGGGTTAAACCACGGAGCCTAGGACCCGTGGCGTAGCGTGGGGGGTGCAGGGGGGCCAGCCGTACCTGGCGCAACATCTGGGGGTTAGGGGGTGCAAATCCACGGGTTAGGGGGTGCAAATCCACGGGTTAGGGGGTGCAAATTACTTGCCTTGCCCCGGGTCCTGACAACCCACGCTACGCCCCTGCCTAGGACTTGCTGATCGGAAGGTCGGCAGTTCGAATCCCCGCGACGGGGTGAGCTCCCTTTGCTCGGTCCCTGCTCCTGCCAACCTAGCAGTTTGAAAGCACGTCAAAAGTGCAAGTAGATAAATAGGTACCGCTCCGGCAGGAAGGTAAACGGCGTTTCCGTGCACTGCTCTGGTTCGCCAGAAGCGGCTTAGTCATGCTGGCCACATGACCTGGAAGCTGTACGCCGGCTCCCTTGGCCAATAAAGCGAGATGAGCGCCGCAACCCCAGAGTCGGCCACGACTGGACCTAATGGTCAGGGGTCCCTTTACCTTTACCTAAGCCCTGTGATGTTTTAGCACGAGATATCTATTATCATTCTAATAACATCAGTGTAGATCCAGCCCCGGTATAAAGCAGTTTCATAGGAATATAGGGTTTTCCCCCCACACTGCAGGAGTGTTGTTTCACTTGCACAACTGGGCTCCCTTCCTCTCCCCGCATGACCTCAGTATCTGCTCCATATCTTTGCAATGATGCTATCCACACATTCAAAGTGCAGAGGTGGGATAGGAATGCCTGACTCCAGGAGTTACGGAAAAGAACTAAAGCGACACGGGGACACAGCTTTCAGCCTCCCCTAGGTGGATGGCTATTTTAGCCTCACCTGAGTGCTCCTGCCGTTAGAGCTTAGGCAGGTGGCAATTGTGGAGAGGGCCTTTTTGGTACTGGCTCCCTACCAATGGAACAACCTCCTTAGACGTGTTAGGCCAGCACTGATGTTTTTATTATGATTTAGGGAGCAGATGCAGAACTTTTTGTTTTCCTAGGCAGGTTGTGGTTCTATCTCTTTGTTATAGTCACTCCGTTTTTGCCCACTGAATGCTTTTATTGAATTGTTTGGTTGCAGACTCGTTTTTTCCACAATTAAAACACTGACTATTCTTTTGAAAAAATATATGAAAAACAGCATGGAAATATTTTTAATCAAGTTAAAAAATGCCTGGGTGAACTTGATGCCAGTCAGGTTTAGCTTGGCCCTGAATAACTCTGTTATTGGCATAGGTCCAAATTAGCAATGCTGATTTGGCTGAACATGCCTCTCTCTCAGACTGAACACTTCATACACATAGCCTCAAGGGAGCACTGTTGGACAGCCTTTCTCATTTCTCTCTCTCTCTCTCTCTCTCTCTCTCTCTCCCCCCCCCCCATTGTTTTTCCCTCTCATGCTCTGCCTTGGTTAATTTACCAGCCAAGAATATTCATGCACAGTCTGGACAGCTAAATCAGTGGCCGTGATCAAAATTGCCCCCAGTCAATTGGCAAGCACTGATGCCGCTTTTCCACAGGAGTTATGATTTACAAATTGTCTGGAAAACACACAGCTAGTGCTTGGTTGGTATATTTGCCACAGTTCTTCAGCAGCTCAAGAGGAAGGAGGAAGCACGTTAAGGAACGGTTGTGGGTGTTCCACCACGGGGTGCTGAAGCCCCCATAACCAAGGCAATTCATGATGGCTAGGGAATACTAAGCATGACATGGGGGGCAACTGATGGGTGTTGCACTTTCTCAGATCTCCTGCAGTAAAATATGCCTGGATGGGAAAGGATGAAAGAGGCAGGCTCTGACTACAGGGGGCTGCTTTGTACAAACAGTGTCAAATAATATTTCAGGAGGGCAGATTAAGTCTGCTTGGCTTGCGGCTTCCCATCGCACAAGGAAATCACGTTGGCTATTTTTCATTGGCGTTCCCCACAATAAACAAGCTAAAAATGTGCAGGGCTGATGGACATTTAGAAGAAAAAAGATTTAGAAAAGATCGTAAGATAATGTGAGCCCAGAAACCCTGATTGGCTGTTCTATGGCACCTGTACACAGGTGTTTTAAAGAAGCATGCTCCCATTTCCATTTTATATGCTGCAGGATATAAGATTGCTGCATAAACCATGGAGGTACTTTAATGCTAAGAGGTGCTAGTTTTCACTGAGTTTCAAGCGGGATTTGAACTCGGGTCTCTGTGAAGGCCGATGATTTGGCAGGAGTTATAGCAGGGAGAAAAACAGTCTATGAGCAGCATTTGTCCAAAGCATCTGTGTGGGTTGTTTCATGATAATTATTCTTCAGGATCAGGTAGATTTCAAATCTTTTGCCCCACATTGGACAAAAAAGATCCCACATTGCAGGGGGTTGGGCTGGATGACCCTCGTGGTCTCT